TGATGTAACCTTACCTTCCTAATGCAGCCTCCACAATGAGCACGAAACTCGTCCATCCAGAGACCCAAAACTCAAAAAGTAGCACCATCGATTTGTTGTATTAAGCCTTCTCTACAAAATGATGGAACAGAATTTCTTAAAAGTGAATATTAGCTGAGTTATTTTGCAAACTATGTTTTTTGCTCTAAATGCTGTAATTATACTTTTCCAGCAGTCTGGTAAATTTTTTAATTTTTTCTTTCAGATTTCGCCACCATTAGATAAGGATATATGACAAATAATTGCTATATATGTATATAACATAATAACATTTATAATATATAGTATTTGTCATAATGATCGGATGGTGTAATCATCTTGATAAAGCTACAAAATTATAGATACAGACTGTAATGGTCAAATATTTTATTGTTGTAATATTTAACTCTATCTGAAAATAGGCAAGATTCTCTTCTCTGTATTATATAGAATCATCTTTGGCTAAGGCAAAACTTCAAGTCGAAGTTACACTCTGAAATTTCGCCGTAAGGGTCCTTCCTAATTTGGTAAGCGAGGGTTGTGACCGTGACGTGACTGGCTTGTCGAGTTTATCAGACGCGTATCTTAGGAGGTCTACTTATTTATTGACTTTCCTTTTATTAATATTCTTATTCATTAAAAGAAAAAAAAATGCGTATGCAGGGAGGTTTGTTGAGCAGGGTGGATTCGACGCACTTCATGAGCGCTGATCCCATAGGACTATGGATTGTCCGAACACGTCCAACGATTTACAAACGGCTAACTTGATACCACTACCAAAGGCACAGATGTACAATCCCCGCCCTGCGTCGAAGCTCCATTCGGCTTAGACTCTGGAACAACCGACAAATACAGTCCCTCTCCCGACGGCTCCTGAATGTGCACCAGCACTGGACTATCCGCTACTCGCTACTCACAAGCATCTCTCAGGTCTTTGGCGGACAGAAAATTGTCGGGCTAGTTTTCTAGATCAGTTATTAGACTTGCGAGCTCGGTGAGCAGCTTTTTTAGGAGGGCAGCAGAGTAGCAGGTCAGTTATATTCTATTTGCATCAATTAGGAGACTATAATATTTATTGGCTTAACTGTACTTTTCTTTTTTTTTAAATAATCGTAAGTATGTAGGGAGGTTTGTTGATCAGGGTGGACACGATGCATTCCTCAGATATAAGGATCCCATACGACTATGGATCATTCAAGCTGGTGAGCGCGTCCAATGATTAAAATCCAACAGTCAGCAACTGATACCACAACCAATGGCACGGATGTACAGTATCATTTGTTTTAGGCCCGCCCCCATCCTGTGTCCAGAGCTCCATTCGGCCTAGACTCCGGAACGACAGACAAATACAGTCCCTCTCCCGACGACTCGTGAATAATGTGTACAAGCACTGGACTATCCCATACTTGCTGCTCACAAGCATCTCTCAGGCCTTTGATAGATAGATTAAATGTTGGGCCAGTTTTCTGGATCGGTTATTAGTCTTGCGAGCTCGCTGAGCAGCTTTCATAGGAGGGCTGCGGAGCAGCAGGTCGGCTATTTTCTTCTGCATCAATTAGGAGGTCTATTTATTTATCGACTTTCTTTTTTTAGGGAGGTTTATTGAGCGGGGTGGACCCAACGCAGTTCATAAGTGCTGATCCGATACGACTATGGATTGTCCAAGTCGGTGAGCACGTCCAACAAGCACAGACCAACGAAGAACTGCTAATACAACACTAACTACAGGTATCATCGTACTGACTGCTCAACTTCTCAGCATCGGGTTAAAGCGCCTCAAAGAACCCAAAGTCATCTCAGAGGTCCTCGGTGGCATCCTGCTTGGTCCAACAGCATTTGGCCGCATCCCAGGCTTCACACAGCACATCTTCCCAGCGGAATCCATTCCCTATCTCTCCCTCGTTGCTAACATCGGTCTCGTCCTCTTTCTCTTCCTGGTCGGGCTCGAAATCGAAACAGCTGTAATCAAGAAAAATGCACGATACTCGGTACCAATTGCCCTTGCTGGGATGGTACTCCCGTTTGGACTTGGGGCAGCACTGGCTTTACCGATATACCAACAATACATCAACGAGGATGAGGTTTCGTATACCCATTTCATGTTGTTTGCAGGTGTTGCTTTTTCTATCACCGCCTTTCCCGTACTTTGTAGGATCCTCACTGAGCTGAAGCTTATGGACACGACTGTCGGTATCGTTGTCCTTTCTGCAGGGATCGGGAACGGCATCATTGGGTGGACCCTCCTTGCTCTGTGTGTCGCACTCGTCAACGCTGCTTCTGGTCTCTCAGCACTTTGGATTTTATTGACTGCGGTGGCATGGACGTTATTCCTACTCATTCCGGTGAAACGAGTATTCAAATGGTTTGCTCAACGAACGGGATCCATCGAGAACGGTCCGACAATGAGTTTCATGACCGCCACGATCCTTATGACCTTTGCATCCGCGTTTTTCACCGATATTATTGGTGTAAATGCTATCTTCGGTGAGAATTAATCTCGTCGTATCTATTAGTAGAACTTCTTTTGATACACATGTCTGTCCAGGTGGCTTCCTGGCTGGGCTAGTCGTACCCCGTGAAGGAGGACTAGCAATCTCGTTAACCGAGAAGCTTGAGGATATGGTTTCGATCATCTTTCTTCCTCTAGTAAGCAAGCACGTTGCTACTTATCCCCTAGTCTTGGATAATTGAACCCAAGTCTGGTAGTATTTTACGCTTTCTGGACTGTCGACGAATCTGGGTCTGTTGGATGATGGTATTACTTGGGGATACACGATTGCGATTTGTTGTCTTGCTTACTTTGGCAAGTTCGGAGGATGTTCGGTTGCGGCTAGACTTTGCGGATTCAAGTGGAGAGAGGCGAGCACGATTGGATCTCTTATGAGTTGCAAGGGGTAAGGTTTCTCCAGCATAAAAAATACGTTTCGAGGCTGAGTATGTGCTCCTATTCTAGGCTTGTCGAGCTTATCGTCCTAAATATCGGCTTACAAGCCGGAATCCTTACTCAGGTATGTGGTATTCTAAACATATGCGGACGTACAGACGTACAAAGTTCTAATAACATTATTCGGAATATAGAAAGTCTTTTCGATGTTTGTCTTTGAGGCGCTGGTGTTGACGTGCATGACTACACCTGTCGTACAAGTCTTGTATCCTCCAAGCGCTAGAACGCGGGCCATCGGGGTCGGTCCAAATTACAAAGCGTCGGGAGAAGAAAAGGGATCTATGGCTCGTCCGAGAACAGAAAGAGGGGATGACGTGTGGAAGGCCCGGTTTACAGTTGTTCTTGATGCAATGGAGCATCTTCCTGGGATGATGGCGCTTACGCAACTCATCCTTCCTCCGCCTGGTGAGTATGATAATGAGGAAGAGAGGGGAAAAGTGGACGAAGGGTTGAAGAGGAGGGGAGCTTCGTTGGGAAGCTCGATTTCTCGTCCACCGAGGGCAAAATCAAACGTTGTCGTTGACGCTCTGAGGCTTATAGAACTTTCCGATCGTACATCGGCTGTGATGAAGTCGACCTCAGCAGCGGACCACCTCATTCATACGGATCCACTGCTCAATGCGTTCAAGACGTTCGGCGAACTGAATGACCTGAGCATCTCGTCTTCGATTTCGGTTGTGACTTTTGGTGACCTTGCTTCTCGTGTAGCAGATCGCGCACGAGATTTTGGTTCGCAGCTTGTTCTGGTTCCTTGGCTTCCGCCTTCTGCTCCAATGGCTACAAGTCCTACCGAGGCTCCTCCAACATATGCAGCACCCGTAACACCCGTTTTAAGCTCGTTCGACATGCTCTTCCGAACACAAACAAGCGAGAAATCCACCTCTGTCGTTCACTCTCACTTTATCCGTGCAGTCTTCGCCCAATGTCAAACGGACGTTGCGTTGTACGTCGATCGAACCATGCCTTCTTCCTCAGACCACTTTGGTGTAAACCCCGCGACGGACGTACACAGTAATCGATTTGGTAGCAGGCACCATATCTTGCTTCCGTTCTTCGGTGGACCTGACGATCGACTTGCGCTAAAGTTTGTAGTGCAGTTGTGTGCGAATCGGAAGGTTAGTGCGACTGTTGTGCGGATGACGAAGAGTGAGACTTGGGCGGAGGTTAAGAAGATAGACGATCGACTTGCGCTAGAGTTTGTGGTGCAGTTGTATGGGAATCAGAAGGTTGGTGCGACGATGAAGAGTGAGACTGGGGTGGAGATTGCGGAGGTTACGAAGGCAGAGGAGCTTGTGCAACAGGTTATTGGGAGGCCTGAGCCTGTGCATATTCATTCTTTCGTACATCGTCATGGTCATGATGGTAATGCAACGGATGAAGAGGATAAGGATGCGGCGGCGAATATCAGGGCGAATGCTGTTACAACTGGATCTGTACGTCATTTTCTTCACTTCTGAGAGCTTTCGCAATTCTAATGACTGTTTTCTTTTCCCGCCCGCTACTTAGATAACTGAAATACCAGATACAGTCTACGGTGCCTTCACAACCCAGGCACGCTTACAATCCGAAACAGCCGACAACCTCGTCTGGGCACGTTACGCCTCTCCCTCACCCACCTCCGAACCCCTCCCACAACGTGTCACAGACGCACTTCAGCGGGTCTCCTTCCACGAACAAGTCTCCCCTACACCTCTTCACTCACTCATAGACGAAGTAACTTCGCAACTGACACGTGCGAACTCACATGGTAGGAGACTTGTAGTCGTGTTGGGGAGGTCTAGGAGGTTATCTATGGAGGATCATACGAAGGAGTTGAGGAAGCTTGTGGAGGTGCATGGTGGGGGGAGCGTTGGTGGGGAGGTGAGGGAGACTATTGGGGATGTTGCGAGTGCGCTTGTGGTGAGTGGGTGTGATGTGGGTATTGTTGTTATGCAGGCTGCAAATCGGAGTGTTGATGCATAGAGCAATGGCGGATATGAACCCTTGCACGTACATTTCAACATGTACAGGTGGTACGAGAAGTCTTCGCCGCCCCATATATAGTAGGAGCTTCTCATGGCAGTATTTGGACACAACGCGTTGACTAAACACTTTAAATTTTCCATTAATTAATAGAATTGAAGCTGTATAACTGTTTAAAACACTTTAATTTTGTATATATGCTCCTGTAGGATTAATTTTTGACATGTGTTATATTATTGTTGTCCATTAGAACAGGGCTTGAAGATTCGAGTCGCGTTAAATAGAGGGATGAGAAAAAAAACTACTATATATGGGGTGACGAAAACTTTTTGCACCCACTTAAATGTAGTGATCCCCGTTTGCATGCATTCATACACTGCAACACAATACGACGGTCATATTTTTTTTTGTACACACCCTCTGTATCCCCCGTATTTGCATACCTCTTTGTATCTCGTGTGTACAATATGTCACTGTGGCACTTGTCCTTTCCATTGTAAACCTGTACGATGAATCGAAAACCTTGATGCATTAGGAGATAGAGATTCTATGTATTTGCACAACGTGATCATACAAGAGGCCAAACTTAACACAAGCACTGATCTTGACACAGCTGCAACATGATGAGACGGTCTCAAGACACCCTCATCATATTGCAGCTGATAGTAGTTACTAGGGCTGATTGGATGCTCGGTGTAATGTGCGATCGACCAATGGAAGGTTTCCGAGCGTTCCCGACCGACAAAACAAAAATGATACAACCTCTGCCCTGACAAGTATACAAAGTCTAGAATCGGGCGTCAAGACGGAGAGAACAGGAGTTTGGTCAATCGGTCCACTCGGGTCGGATGACATGCAGATGAGATGGACAACTAACTTGAGCGTTTAAGAAGATACTTTATTGAGAAAGTCGGAGAACGATGCGATGATCTCGGCTATTAATTTCCTGGCCAGGGGACAGTTTAAAATAAGCATTCATTGCCTTGCAGGCGTGCAGGCGTGCACGTCGTGTTTAGTGTTAAATTGTACTAGTACCTGTGCAAAAGTAACAGCCAGCAGCACAGCTCTGGCAATGCGCGTTGAATAAGCAGGGAGAAGAAGGCATGAGGCACGAGTATGCGTGTTTTGATTTTAGCAGTAGTACACAGCCCTGGCAATGTGCGTTGAACAGGGGGATGCGAGTATCGTATTCTTTATTTCTGGAAAGTCGAATACCTTGCCTGAGGAATGGTAGCCAATGACAAAAGGAGCAGCCCGAGGTTTTCCGGCAGAGGACGACGGCGAGCCCGAGTACAGAGGATCAAATGGAAGCCGGAAATCAGGCGGGTTCTTCTTAATGATAAGTTTCATATTGTTGTTAAGTTATGTGCGATGGAGTAAAGCGGGTAGCATGTCGCCGACAAAGTGATAGAGATTTCCAGTTCCAATAGAGGAAGATGCGAGATATATATTGCGGCGACTGTATTGGCCAAGTGAACAGGATCAAGCGGACAAAGCGGACAGGATGGACAAAGCGGTAGAAGACGGTATGATTGTCGGACCAGTCGGGAATTGATGTAAGGGAAGTTTACGGGTTTCAACGGTACCAGTGCACAGTGTACTAGGAGTGGTGTGGTAGAAGAGACAGAACTTAGAAACGAGTATCGCTGACAGAGTGTGTCCGTCCAGTATTGGCCAATTGAGCGCAAGGATGCAGTGCATGGTGTAAGTGAACCGAGTTCGACGACCGGTGGGCTGTGCTCATGCCGTATGTACAGCGATAGATGAAGATGGCGACGAGACAAGCCGGAGCGTGACAGCGCGTACTAGCGGGTAGCAGAAGAGAGGACAATTCGAGGATGTTCGGCGTTATTCGAGACGGGGGAGGGGATGGGAATGAAGGGTTTGTAACAAGCTCAGCGAATACGAAGGGGACGCGCGTCGGCGACGTGTACACAGGCTGCGGAATGGCATGTGCATGCGGCATTGATAGGCCGATGCGATGCGGGCGTCTAAACGAAGCTAGGGACATGAAAGGCCGCGTGATGAGCTCAGGAACCATCTGACCGCATGAGGCATGAGGCGGAGCACAGCATGCGCCTCGTTCGCGCGCCCCGAGCGTCGGGACAGGGGCGCTCTTCATTTCATTGGGTCAGATGGACAGGATGGCGGGACATCGTGGGAGACGGGAGTGCATGGGTCGGGGTATTTGTCATGATTAGATAGGGTCCGGCAAAATAATGCATCTTGGTAAGCCTCTCCTATCGAGTCATCTCGGGACTGAATGCGGTACCGTCCCTGTTCCCGCGATTTGCCAATTTTTTTTCTCAGTCTGTCGCTGGATGGTCGCACTTGCCTGCGCCCGTAGCTCTCCAAATTGCACACAGAGCAAGGATGGATCGCAGCAGGATGAAAGCATGTGGGGGACAGGGAGAGCTCATATGAAGAGCAGCGGCGCAGTGCACGCAGTCGGGGAAAATGAGCTAAACGAGGACAATGGCGAGCGACGTGGCAGTGCGTGGGAATCCTAGTACACGGGCGCTTGAAAACTTGCTTAAAACCGGCCGAGTCATCGCCCTCCCTCTCCCCCATCTCTCCTTTCTTCCTCGACTTCCACACAGCTCTCTGGTTTCCGCCTAGAGCTTATAGCGAGCCTCGTAAGTACCCCTCTCCCTTTCATTCTCTCTCTCCGCGTCGCGTCATCCTTGTGCTCGCTTTTCCTCTCTAAATACCGAGTATCTTTTGCGTGCGAGCAGCGTCGGTGCACTCGTGCATATATATATACGTTTTTCGTACTACCTCTCTTCATTTGTGATTCGTTTCGACTCTGCTCGACTCGCATCGACTCAGTTCTCGGGCACTGCTAAGCATGCATACCGAGTCCACATCCGTACCGCCGAGGTCGGAAGAGTGCATTGATGACGTTGACGCTACGCAACAGTCGTGTCGACGAGATGTACTGATCCAGCCGTGGTCCGCCACCAATTACAGGCTTTCTTCGCCGGCTGACGCTCACCTGTCGTCTGCCGTGCCACTGCATCACTCAGCGTCCCAACCCAACCCAGCCATTCTCCCCATCCGGTACAACTTCACCAATAACAACGGTCAGGATGTGCCTTCAACTCTAAGCGCCGACACCCGTCCGCGTCCCATCTCGTCGACACCAACACTTCAAAATGGTCGATCCCCGCACAACCTTGAGAGTCCAGCACTCCCAAGCTCTTCTCCTACTCCGTATCAGAATGGCTCGATAAACACATTGACGTCCCGTCCTCGGGCAAACCTCCCGGTATTCTCACCGTCCAAACTGGCCGCACACCATGGACTCCCTACTAAGCTCCCGCCTATTCCCCGTGTCAACAGCAACACAAATAATCACAACAGACCTCCAGTACCCCGCTTCAGCGAATCAGCTTCCTCGTCTCCAGCAACGACGACGATAAACACTCATACTCAAGACCCTAACTCCGGAAACATTACCGCGCTCGAAGACTTCCAAGCCCTGTTTGCCGGATACATCAACATGCTCAACAACGACAGTAAGACTGAGGAGAATGGCGGTGCTCCAGCATCTGCCACGCCGTCCTCGCCCGCAAAGGTGCCTCATTGTCTGGAGCCTTCCGCAGAAGAGGCTGCGCAGGCTGTCCGTCATGCGCTCTTTGGTAAGTTTTCCTGCGCCATGCACTATTTTGATGGCCAGGATGTGACTCATCGCAAATCCGCTTCCGCAGGCGGCGCAAATGACTTCACCTCGTCGGACTGGCAGGAGTTCCTGACTTCCCCCTTCCTTGACGATGAGCCCACTCCATTCGATCCGATGCTCGATACACCTGCAGTTGGAATGCAAGATTTCTTCACATCACCAGTTGTTGCGGATGCGGGACCGAACGCACTGGGCGTCGACTTCCCTGATATGCCGTTGTTCTCGCAACCAGCCTCTGCAGCTTATCAAGAGAATAACAATGGGTTTGCCAAGATGTCACTTGAGTCCGCTCCGACTCCGTCATCAGTGGCCTCTGGTTCTGTGTCTCCAATGAAGCCATCCATTCCTAGTTTCGATGGCTTATATACCATGTCCCCTGCGACGCCTGCGTTGGATCCAACGTCTGCGCAGTCGTCGCCTCTCGTAGCTGACGTAGCCATGGCCTCACCAAACACGGCTGTGGGAGGTCGCAAGAAGAAGGTAGCAACTGGGACGCGCAAGGGCGTGACGCCAGAGGCCCTCGTTCCACTTGATGCACCAACGCAGCCGCGTAGCTACCTTATGCCGTCGGCGACGTCGCGTAAGGCTGTTCCGGCAGTATTCGCCCGTAAGCGCGCTCGTTCCGCAGCGTTCGACGAAGAAGACGACGAGCTCGCAGGTTCGGAGGATGGTGCAGCAGATGGTCCCGTATCAACTGCTGAAGCCGATGCCATTGCAGCCAAGCGAAGGCAAAACACGCTTGCTGCACGTCGCAGCCGCAAACGTAAGCTGGAATACCAACGTGAACTCGAAGAGTCCCTTGAGGCGGAGAGGAGGGAGAAGGAGATGTGGCGCGAGCGCGCAATGATGCTTCGTACACAGGTGATGCAGTTCGGTGTACCTGACCCTTTCAGGGACTCGTAAAGTCAAGGTGCTGTGTCTACTCGTGCGTTTCGTTTGCCCTTCATGCTGCTTTCCATTTTCTCGTCATATTGTCCATGCATTCGCATATGCCATGCCTCTATGCACTTCATTTACTTTTCATACATCCTTCAAGTTCTCATGTTGGACTGATCAACATAAATGACCTGTCACTGGTCGTATTCATACCATTTTACAAGGTGACATTCGGCATCCCGTGTATTGTTACACATTTCCCCCACCATCGTTCCCCACCCACTTGCTTGGGGTGCCGTCTTACCCCCTTCCATTGATGCATCGTCTGATCAAATGCTTCCTGGTTTTCCATTTACTTGAAGCTCTTTCGTTAATACACCTCTCATCATTTTACGAGCGTGTTTCCCCTATATCTCATACCATATTCCCCGTTCCCGGTTTTTGTCACTCCTGTTCACTTACACTGGCTGTGTCTCTTCTTCGGCCGAAGGAGGTCGTCCAACTTGTGTCCGCTTTCAAGTCTCGGAGCAGGTGTAGATATACAATGACGGTCCTCTATCCATTTCATTTTGTGTCCGAAATTCGCTATCGATTTAGTTCCTTGATCCCTCACTATCGATTCGGTTTCTCCTATTCCCAGTTTGCCTATCTCAAACCCATCTCAATTGCGGGCTATGATCAGATTCCCCCTGTGATCTGTATACATTTGTACCGCATCGTCAGTAGTAAACAATTCAATCGAATATATGAGAGGCTGAGCTGATGTGCCCTTGTTCAAGGTTTGCACAAGTCTCTTTTAAAAAACTTAGGGATATAGTCATGCAATGCATGGCACGGGTTACAATGATGTAAAAAGAGAATGATTACATAAGAGTAGGATGTATTCGGGCAGTCACCATTTCTAGGGTGGAGCTGAGAGTAGATAAAGTTAGGTAGATATATTTAAGTTTGGCTAAGGGTGAGTGTGCCTTGTAATGTTTGCCTAAGAATGAAGGATCAGGTGTTGATATTGAGTATTAAATGAATAGAGAAGGATAATAAAAGGGTATTGTTAGGAGGGATGTGTTCTTTAGATTAATAGTACTCTCAAACTGCAAATGTAGACCTATAGCCCTTAATCCAACTATATTCCCAAAGCTACCAGCTAGGATTTATGCTAGGAGATCAAGTAGGAATATAAGAAGAGTCAAAAAACTAAGGAACTACTGTATTTACAGACTACTTTTTATAATAACTAAATAACAAGAGTAAAGTAAGGAATGAAACTTGAGAATAAGATCAAAGAAATAATAAGAACAAATATTACAAAGCTAACAGGCACATTAGAGGTCAGGAAGAATTAACAAAGTATTGTACATTAGAGAATATAGGTTAAGAGGCTATTACACAAAAGAGGCACAAGTTACTATATGTAACCTCTAAGGTTACACACATGACTTTAGTTAAGTATATAAAGGGCTATTTGTAGACACTTAGAGATTATCTTCATACTTGCTCCTGTACTTAGGTCAACCTCTCCAATCCTAGGTCTTTACCTGTTCTGTGTTCTTGAGTAAGGCTCTAGCCTTTACACTTTTTTTTAAATATTGTAAAATTTAAGGATTACCTCTTATCTACTACCTTTCACTCATACTACCAGATTGTCAGCCTCCCCCCAGCTTCCCTCTACACATCTACTATCTACTACACATCTACAGTACTCTATAGTAAGACTCTAGTGTAAGGGATTACTATATATAGTAGACTATACATAGAACCTCTTTACTAAAAGAGTATAATGTCAAGCTTGGCTTAACACCTGGTCCACACTATATATACTAATAAATGTTTGTGTCCTAACATTACTCTCCTCTCTAGAGTCATGTGTCCTCACATGACTAGTATATAGAGTTTGACTCTAAGGGTTACTATTTCTAGCTTAACCTTGACAGCCTTTAGAGGTAGGGAGAGATATTCTAATATAGAGTTCTAGCCCTAGTATTCTAAGCAACTAAGAAATTCACTCCCCCCCTTTTAGGAAGCTTATTCTCAGCCTAATACTTTTACTTACAAACAACCCTACATCAGGATCAAACCCCTGACTTGTTACAGTTCTCTACTCTCATACCTTCAGTTCTAAGGATTCTACACCCTTCTGTACCAGAACTCAGGACTTCTGTCCCTCAGGGGTGCTGTCTATGGACTATATGTGTGCTGACTCTTGCTACTACCCTTCCTTACTTTATCATTCCATTCCTTTGACCACCCCTTCATTCTTTGTATCATTCTATGGTCCCTTACCCTTTGTCCATCCCTTCATTCTTTGTACCTTTATCTTTGGCATTCCTTTCTTTCATTCTTTGTAGCTTATCATTCTTAGTAGCTCATACTCCCTGAGTACTCTTGTGTAGTTTAGTATATATAGGCATACAAGATCAGACTAGTCCTGTAGTCTTGATCTTGTCTACTCCAGGTAGTCCTGTACTCTTAGGCTCACTCTATATACTCTACTCTTGTCTCACTCTCTCTCTCTGCCTGTTCTGCAAGTTCTGACTATGTTCCAGTACTTACATTCTGTATTTCTGTTGTGTAGGATAGTTGTAGCCTGGGTCCCCTTACTGAGCCTTTGGGTCCCCTCTACACTGTTACTGACATCAGATCAAGACTACCTATTACCACCCTACAACTCTCCTACATTTCAGGCATTAGTACTTACTGTTGTATCAATCTCTTTCCTTTGTCCTAACCCTTTTACATTTTTAAATTTTAAACTTTCTAAACCCTTTTAAACTTTTGCCACCCTTCTTCTATTCATTACCCCTTTTAGTTTAGTGTTGATTCCTTTGTAGTATAGACATAGACCCTACTATGCTGACCACCACCCCTACTGTCCCACCAGATCAGCAGTTACAAGCAGAACTAGCTCAATATGTACAGACCTCCATCTAAGAGGCCTTTGCTAACCACATGCCCTCAGCCCCTTTGGAACCTGTTCTGATTGTTCTGAAAGTCACAACCTGTTCTAGAAAGAAAGTACATGTAGCCCACCCTTTAGACTTTAATAGGCAGCACTTTAAGGACTTCTAGCACCAAGTTGAACTATACATAGCTACTACTTTGACTAATC